GGGGGGGGGGGGGTGTAACACTGATCCGATTTCATGTCCAGCTTATTATTCGCAATCTAATAACTGAAGACGCAGGCATTCTTGACCGAATTAACATACCACACAATATATAGGAAAAGACACAAAAGAAAAATTGCATAGTAAAATGTATTATTTTTCATGTATTTTATATAATGTTATAATCTTCTGAATCCTGTAAAATCTCACGTGACTTTCAAATTAAATAGTTCAAAGTCTTAAAATGTACTACTTTTTCTGTATTTTATGATGTTATAATCCGGCTTCTGAATTTTGTAAAATCTCACCCCAAAATGCACGAAATGGCGTTTCAGAGGCTCGGAATTTTTTCCCGGGGGAGTATGCCCCTGGAGCCCCCTACAGTGTTCGCACCTTCGGCGCTCAACTTGTCTCCCTCACTTTGTAAACCCTGGCTACGCCACTGGTTCTTTCTTGCCAACTCTCGCTCTCTTAAGTTGAGAGAGAAAATAGAGACGCTTTCGCGCCTTCGATATAATTTGGTCAATGTGATTGTTCCATTTCAAATTGTTAGAAACGCTCAGACCAAGGATTTTGGCACTGTCGACCACTTCCAAGATTTCTCCATTTACTATAACAGGGTCAAACATTGCTCTTGGTTTGCAGAATCCGAATTGTGACTCCTTGTATTTAGTTTCGTTAAGTAGTTAAGTAGTTTGAATTGGTTCTCAGAGATTTGTCTTGTTAGGTCATCTATAAGGGGTTGAACTTTACTTTCTTCATTTTTCCTAACAATTTCGTCTAAAGTTGTATCGTCCACAAATTTCCATATATTACTATCGTTAATCTTTAAGTCATTTATCATTATGATAAACAGTCACGCCCCCAACTTAGTGCCTTGAGGAACACCAGCTGAAATGTCGGCCCAATCTGAATAAGAATTTTGATTTAGTTTGACCCGTTGTTTTCTTCCTGTGAGAAAGTCTTTGATCCATTTAAACACCCATTGGGGTAAAGCCACTCAGCCACTTTAGAAATTATGGGTGTCAGCGAAATTGGGCGCAAGTCTTTGTTTACTTCTTGAACTGGTTTCTGTTTGGGGATTGGAACGATGTCTGCGCATTTCCGTGATTGAGGGAGACTGGCTTCTTGGTAGGAGCTGTTGAGAATATCCGAAATTGGAGCACCTAAAATGACGGAATTCTCCTTCAGCAACCAGGCCGAGATACTGTCAGGTCCTGTTGCTTTAGTTTTAATTAGGTTGGCTAGCTTCTTGCTGACGGACATTTCAGATACGTAGTACGGTCGTATATTTTCTATTGGTATATTAGCACCAGTTTCCGGAAGTAGAGCATCAAAATCTTTTGTAGGTTCTAAAAATGTTTTGTTGATCATATTGGAAAGGTCTTCCAATTCAGTTGCATTGTTTTCAGATCCACAATCCAAGTTCCGTAAGAGAGAGATTGGGTCTACGCGAACCTGTGACGAGATACCGCTCAGTTTTTTTGTTTCTTTCCACCACTCCGCCCGTGAACAGGTTTTTAAATATTCAACCTTCGATGAATAAAATTTTCCTCAGCACGACTTGCGTTCTCGATTGACTTGGTTGCTTAAGGATTTAAACAGTGTCTCATGCATTACCACGAGCTAGAGCGGCTTGTCGGTGTCGGATCAATTTTTTTAATGATTGAGAGATCCAAGGGGGGTCATTGGAGGCATTCAATTTGGATTTTAAGGGTAGTAATGCATCTTGTCCATAGTTAATTATTGATTCGAGCATTTCTACCTTTGCATTACACGAGTTTTGTGTTTCGATTAGGCCCTTAATGTCCACTTTTTCTAAATATTTCCGCATTATCAGCCGTTTCGTGGGTCTCAAGTCCCAGGAGATCGTATAAATTTCGCCTTTTGGTTAGTTGGTCTCTTCAAAGGTTGAATTTCGACTGATAAATGATCGGAGAGGCCAAAAAGTGGACGTTTAGTTGGTTCGTCATAAAACTGTTTCATGTTGGTAAGTACCAGGTCAAGGGAACTAGAGTCACGAGTTGGAAATTTGACGATCTGGCATAGTTTGAAACTATTTTTCAGTCTGGAAAGGTTTAATTTAATGAAGTCCCCAAGGATTATTATGCCACAATTGGTGAATCGTGCCTCAATTGTTGTTAAAGCCTCGTACAAGTAGTTAATTAAATCCTGATCGTTTCCTTTAGGGGGATGGTATATAAATACATGATATACCTCTTGGGAGACGTAAAGGTTTTAGCTTTAACCAAATGGTTTCGAAATTGTTGCTCACAAGCTCTGATAAAATATCGTACTTTATAGCATTTTTAACGTAGACACAGACGCCACCGTGTTCGCCTTGATATCTATCGCGTCGTACAATGTTGTAACCGGAGATTTCGACGACATTATCGTGTATGTGATTTTGGAGCCATGACTCCGTTATACAGAAGAGATCTACATCAATTTGTTTAGACACCTCACGAAGTTAATCTATTTTAGGAGCGAGATACATGACGTTGGACAACAAGATTGAAGGAACAAATAGGTTTGGAGACCTAGGTTTTTCTTGTAGTTTAGTTTGAATAGCTATGCAGTTTTTAGGATTATGGCCAGAGGGGCGGTAGCTTGAATGTGGGTCAGTTCTGACTGGTATGATATTATCATTCGGTAACATTAGCGTACAGACCCGATCTGGTTGTTCAAGGAACTCTGACTGTACCATACTTTGGTCGCCACAAGACTGTCTTCCAACCCGAGAACATCCATTCTGCAAAGGTTTTCGTAATCGTTGCTGGTGGTCTGACTCAGTCTGAGTCAATAACATACTTTCTTTGCTTCTTTTCCTGTCGACATTATTGTCCATCCAAACTTAGTATGTTTGGCTACCGGCCGGCTCCCCCATAGGCCATAGTCCCTACTGGTTGAGCTTCAGACGTCTTGATCTTCGTGTATTCGTTCGTTCCAGTAGTATAAGATAAACCGGAAGTTTGCTCTTCTTATTAACGTCATCCATACGAACTGCGTACGAGCCCGTTGCACAGGTATCCAATAGTGCCCGACATTTAATCCCGTTTGCATTGACCACTATGACTGGATGACATACTTTCTCGCTATGTTATTGAATGGATGTTGAATGGGTGACTCAGGACGTTTTACCTAATGTTACTTCATCTCAATATGGAGGCTTGGCAGGTTCATCGACAACTCTAGCACTGCTTAATCTATTACATAATTGGTATCAAGCACTCTATCAACCCCACACTGTAATAAGAGTACTTTTCTTAGATTTCACGAAAGCGTTCGATTTAATCAATCACAAAAAACTTCTTCACGATATGCAGAGAATGGGTGTCCGAGAATCACTCATTCCATGGATTGCCTCGTACGTAAAGGGAAGAAAGCAAATTACCAAAGTTGGAAATGTTAAATCGGGATTAAATTAAAGCAGGTGAATGGGGGTGTTCCACAAGGTAGCAAAATTGGTCCATTGGCATTTATTATAAAAATAAACGACTTGGAGGAGGTGTGTAAAGGAATTTCCAAAAATGAGAAAGATAAAGTTATATTGTATATATATATATATAGTTACTAGATAAAATTTTATCTAATAACTAATCTTTGTAAATTGTATAGTAATTTAGCTTTGTGTTATTGTACGCGATATTTTAAACCAGTTTAATAATAATAATAAGAATTACCGACTTATTGTCATTTAAACCCGAAGGCAATCACCATTTAAGATCAGATGATTGTTCGTTGCTGCAGATTCCCAAAACAAACTCAAAAACACTTGGAGATAGATCATTTAAGCATGCTGCTCCTCTAATTTGGAACTCTTTCCCACTTAACATTAGGCGGTGTGAAACTGTTAACTGTTTTAAAACTCATTTAAAGACATTTCTATTTAGGAAGGCGTATAAATAGACCAATTTTAATAACTATTAGTGTATATATATATATATATATATATATATATATATATATATATATATATATATATATATATATATATATATATATATATATATATATATATATATATATATATATATATATATATATATAGTTTTTCGTTTTACTTCAAAAAACCACAACAGTCTGTTTCATCACCTGATGATTCCTATACGGACGAAACAGACTGTTGTGGTTTTTTGAGGTAAAACGAAAAACTATATTACGCTCTATCTATATGGTATTGAGCACTGTTTGTGTTTCGTAAACCAAAATCTTAAGCTATATATATATATATATATATATATATATATATATATATATATATATAGTATATATATATATATAGTGTATAATATATATATAGTGTATAATATATATATATATATATATATATATATATATATATATATATATATATATATATATATATATATATATAT